TACAATTAGATATGTTCCGTAAAAGTGACCCCGAGGTTCGATCAAAATACGTCGTGAACACGCTTTTCGCGAAAATCAAAAACTATTTCTACAACACGCAAAAACACGCTGTCGATATTTGTTTCAGATACAACTTTGCGCAAGTGCGATCGTAAAAGAACACGATCAATGATATTCGTTTCGTCGTTTTTGAAAAAAAAAAAAAGTTCGTTGCGCGCAAATAGCGGGCAATTTCCCAAAAAAAAAAAAATGTTGTCGTTTTGCCGCGAATCTTTTTAATACACGTGGCCTCAAATGAAAAATCTCTCGCGCTGCAGCAACACGACGATGGAGAAGTCAAAATATTTGTTTTTTTTTTTTTTTTATTTTAACAAAAAACAAACTGTCGTAATAATTATCGTTTTTTGCGGTAGCAAAACGTTTATTACCGTCATGGCTCGAGTTGTTATTAACACATGCACTGCTTTTTCTCTTATTGCTTATTTCTTCGTTGGATATATATATATTTAAATATATATTTCATATTCTTATAAGAGACAGCGCCACGCGCAATTCCGCATGTATTCAACGTAGCCGCCGCCGCCCTCATAAAGAAAACGCTTGTTTTTCTTTCCGCGAAATTCATCGCGCATACTGTGTGCGCGCGCGGTCATATTCAGGACCGTGTGGGTATAAATAAATCAGCATATATCATCGACATATATTTCTCGTCTCACTTATTCTCACGGATGCGAATAAGATGTTATATATCGATTCGCGGAACGGAGAGAAGAGTCCCCTCCCCCCCCGCACACCGCGCCGGCGTTAGCTACCGCGAACATAAATTATGCACTATCGGTGGAACCGATAAGTATTAGCTTAGTTTGAAATTTGTTAGCCGGCGGAGAAGCGAGAGAGCCGGAGAGAGAGAGAGCATTCTAGGGTACCGGCTTTCACAGTCACGAGCGGAAAAAAAGTACGGCGAAGTTAGATGAATCATGAATAAATTTACGCGCCGAACCTTTATCCCGGAATGATCCAAGTTTCTTTATAGTATATATAGTATATATACTCTCTCTCTCTCTCTTCTCTCCACGGTAATGTCGAAACTTATATCGCGCGGCCGGGAAGAAATTGCGCGTACACGTTTAAATTACGTGTGTGTGTATCGGCCGTTCGCTGCCGAAATTTACGCCGGACTCGTATATTAAATATCGCGGCAACAGAAATAACGAATTGCGACCGCGTGATCCTTTCCGATAGCGAAGTAATATCCCGGGAGAGAGAGGAAATATTTCAATATAATTATTAAACGATCATAAAGTGATCCAATTTGTTTCCCCGTGTCTGCGATTTATGGTTACTCGTAAATTACATGGAAAACTAACGTGGTTAAAATTCGACTTATATATGTCAAATCAAAAATTTAAATTGAACAAAATTGGACACGAGTGTGACGGATATATTATATGTATTTCGGGAGTCACAATTATATCTAATTAGAAATTAATTTTTAAATGCGTGTTTTATTGAGTAAATTTTAAATATCCCGTGTATTAAATAATCAGAGAGAAAGAAAGAGATAATAGAGAGAGAGAAAGAGGAAAAAACACGAGATTTGTCGGAAGTAATCAATGTTAAATAATCGAACCCTCATAAAACACTCGAAATCGGATTAATTGGTCGATTTATCAGCCCGAACGTACCAAGTCCCGAAAAAGTCGCGACCTCTCTCTCCCAAGTTCGAAGAAAGTTTCTCTCTTCTTAAAGAGATCGAGAATCTCTCCATTATCTCGTCTTATCGTAGGCGGAAATAACACTCGTTCCCGTTCGAGTTGGCGCGGTGGCTTCTCGACTAAAATTTGCGACGCCAGCACACGGGGCGGGGGCGGGAGAAGAGAACACGGCTTGCAGACTCAATTAGCCCTGCGGAAAACTTTCATGGGGGAGAAGGGATTACGATGTCAACAGCGTCTTTCTTGCGCGAATGACGGTTGCGCGCGGCGCAACCGTCTCGCAAAATTGTTGTTTATCGAAATGGCAGTCTTCCAAGCTTCTTCTCTCTGCCCCCGTCAAGCTTTTGAAATCAAACGGGCTCTCTCGGCTATTTAACTCCGCGCTTCACTTTGCCCCATCACGCGTCTTTATCTTGACTTGCATCGCGCACAGCATCTCTGAAAACTATCTATTTTCTCTCGAGCGCAAACTTCGAGAGATTATAATTGTGAAAGAATGCTTTCTTCAAACGTGAAAACGAATTTTGTAGAGAAGAAGCTCGCGCGTGATGATATAAATTATTTCGTATTATTTTATTATTTTTACTTCGTACAAGTTTTAGGAGGCTTTTTTATTTTCAGTCACGACTCTCTCTCTCTCTCTCGGAAGTTGGGGAAAATATTTCCGCGAGTTGAAAGCAAGTGCGCGGCGCGTGTGCGAAGGAAAACTCTCGCAAATAACGCGAACATACGCTACTGATAAAGAAAAGTTAATTAAGTAAAAATAAAACCAACTGTTTTAAACGAGGTTTTAAATATAAGCGAATACGTGCGGTATGCGTTAAGGTAAAATGCAGCGGAAAAATACAACGAAAGGGCCGTCCCCGTTTTACCGTGTGAGAAAAATGATTATAGCTTCAATAACGCCGGTATTACACGGTATCAAACAATTTCGCGCGCGATATGTATACGTGTGTATGTATATCAGACTACGTCGTTTATTATTAATTCCGAATACCGCTTCTCTGCCACGATAACACAGATGCAAATTAAAATTGAAGACGTCAATCGTTGCATATTGCATGTGCGAACGATCGATTTCAGCGCGGGTGACGATTTTTATTAAAAATTATACGATAATATTTTTTAAATGTAAATTAATTAAAAATTATACTGTGATTAGCGATCGTACAATTCTAAAATAACTTATTTTATTAAGTTATTATGTTATATACAGAGAGAGAGAGAGAGAGAAGCGTTATATTAATTTAGATTCTTGATATTAATACGATATTGCACGTAAAACTATAATTTTAACATTTTCCGATTGATTTTTATTTATGTAGAGGATTGATCGACGCAATGCTGACGTGAATATTCAGAGTAGATCTTGTTATGAAATGCAAATTTCTCTCGTAGCAATTTAATGTTGAATTTTGCGTTATCTTTCCAATTTGCAGTAAATTGATTTGCTCCGACGTATAATATTCGATGTGTATATCATTATCTTATATTCATATTTTTTGCCGTAAACAAAACTTGCGTCGGCATTTCTGTGTTGAAAAAATATGCGCGAATGAGGAAGCAAGCAATTGATACGTGTGCGTAACGTTTTCACAATTATCGGTCGCCGTTTTCGCAAAGACTTCTTTAAACACAAACGTACACATATAACGAGACTCCAATTGAGAGAATTCATTGATATTACGTTATCGTAAATTGACAATTAACCCGTTCCATAAACATGTACCACGTGAAGAATTTATTTTACAATAAAATTTAATATTGCTTGCTCAAATCACTTGCGAATAATTTACATATCGCAAAAAAGTGATAATTTAATCAATTATAGCGAGTTGTATACAAGCGCTAATTAAATCCTACAGCTGTCGAGAAGATAATTTCTTGCGTAAAAATAACCGATGTATTTCGGATCGGTTTGGTGACAAAAATAATTCGATGACGAAATTGAATGTATATATGTAACACGCGTTTATAATGATCTATATTTAGTTTGTTCTGAAAATAAATGAAAAACTATTTCGAATGTTTCCAAAAAGCTGCAGCGACAGGCAAAGAGTGAAAAAAACTGCAGTTCGATAAATTTTCTCGCGAGAGAGAATCGAGAGAAGCGTGCGCGGGTTCAGTTTGTTTTCCATGAAAGAAAGATTATTTGAAAGAAGGATGATTTCAACCGGAAATGCTCTTTTCGCACAAAAGTAGCCGAACTGCATCGAATCAGGTCGCGATATCCAAAAGTTTCACACGGATCTCCCTTCCCGCTCACACTCTGCCTTCTATTACCGACTAAATCCTTCAAATCGGAATCGATCGCGGAATCGCGATACGGTCGCGGCAGCGGTGACTTTTACGATTTTATTCGACGAAGATGTTATTGGCCGACGGGGTAGGAAAAGACACAGAGGGTTGGAGTTTGTCTCCGATCGATCCCTTCACTCGCTGTGTATGTGTGTGTTATGCCGCCTCGAGAAGAGAGAGAGAAAGAGAGAGAGGAAGAGAGAGAGAGAGCCAAAGATTCTCCTCTGTTCGCGCTAACCTCTTTCTACTTTCTGCGGGTTCGCGTCCGAGTGTTAGTTCTCTCCTCGCTGAGTTTCGCGAATTGCGTCGCTCGCAGACGAGATCAATATCGCTTTTGTGACTTCTGCCCCCGCTATCTCGGCGCGAGAAGAACCGCTCGCTCGATTTTTATACACACGGAGAAGAGGTCTTCTCTCAATCTAATTGGAGCGAAGGCCGTAAAAGAAGAAAGGACACATAAAAGAACCCCCATGCTTTGAGAATAATACATGGACTGTATTTTTTATGAACGCGTTTTAAAAACTTGAGAATTTTTTCTAGTCGAGAGAGATGACCTCTATCCGTATGTTTGACTTTTGTGTAAGTTGATTGAGAGTATAAATATTTAAACGAATCGTGGGATCTTTCACGAAAGACAAATTTATTATTGCGACAAATTCTCCTTCACCCAAAGGATGAAAGAGCGTTACTTAGAAATCCGCGTGTCGTCACATCATTTCTTAGAAATCACGCGCGTTCGGGTAATCGTTTTAAAAATAAATATCCAAAGAGGCGCGCTTCAGTAAATCGTTAAGCAGCTCTTTTAGCGTTACGGATGGCTGCGACGATTTTTGAAATATGGCAACTCGAAGGGAAAAAAGAACGAGAGAGAGAGAGAAGAAACGACGCGCGAAGCTATTTAAATCTTCCTGTCGCTCCTCCAATTTAAATCATTCTTTGTCGGGATTCTAGATATTGGAAATGGTAACGGCGAGGCGCTGTACTCACCTGGTCGGCGATCTCCGTTAGATCGTGCAGACTTATGTTGTAAATGGCGTTCCTGCAAAACGAAACGAGAGCGTTAAATCCCGACCCATAAATCGTGTCTCCTCCGTAATCTCTGCGCTTCGTAACACCGACGATTCGGATTGAAGCGCGAGCAAACATTGATAATTACAAGACAGGTGAGTTGAGAACGCGAGAAGAAGGAAATGCACTTAAAAGATAAATCTCAAAGATGTCTTTTTTTTTTTTTTTTTAAACAAACGCTGATTCTAGATAATTTTCAAGTTGCTGATTCTTGCGATCTTTCACGCGCACGCGCAACTGTGTGTAAAAGAGACACGAGAGAGTGCGAAGAATAAATCAAAAAAAAAAAAAAAAAAATCTGAAAGGACAAAATCGGAGTAAAAGATCCGATAGCTATGTATCTCGAAGTATAACGTAATTGATTTTACGATCGACCAGCATTGTGCTGACTTTGTCCGGTGGTGGAAAAGCATAACTCGGAGACAAAAAAAAAATTAAATTATTTTTCGATCCATATCAGGTTTCCATTAGCCAATGTATTTATATCAGATTCCGCAAAGAGATACATTTTTCATCTCCAGCCCGCGGCTTTGGCGGCGTAACTGGAGCAGATTGATATAATGTCAGAAAGCAAAGAGAAGTTACGCACAACACAGAAATGATGAAACGCCGCGACGCGATTCAATTGTGTCGAAAAGTCAAAACCAGCGATATATCGAGAGCACAACCTCGCGCGCGCGTCGCTTTTCATCTGTGAATTTCTGATTCTTAGCAAAAAAAAAAAAAAAAAAAAAAAAAAAAAAAATAAAAAAACAATTTTAACAATCTCTCGTTTCGCGCGGAACATCGCAAAAGCGTGACGTTAAAAGAAATAAATATTTCAGTTAGAATTAAAATTATTTTAAATTATACAACACAAAGGATATGTATTTTTTTTNCGCGCGTCGCTTTTCATCTGTGAATTTCTGATTCTATTCTAAAAAAAAAAAAAAAAAAAAAAAAACTTTGATAAAACAAAATTTTTAACAATCTCTCGTTTCGCGCGAAACATCGCAAAAGCGTGACGTTAAAAGAAATAAATATTTCAGTTAGAATTAAAATTATTTTAAATTATACAACACAAAGGATATGTATTTTTTTTTTTTTTTTTTTTATAATCAGTTAGAATTCTCGAAAGTTTCTTTCTACAGCGCAGATAAATTTTTGAATAGAGTCTGTTCTCCTTTGTGCGTCTATCGATTGAATCGCTTCTGGATATAACAAGATGTCTCAAACACACCTTTCCCTCGCGCGAGTTCTTTGACCAATTTGAACCAGAGTTTTCCTCAGAGAAACGTCGAGGAATCAATAATATCTTCACGTAAACAAAACGCGGATTCAATTGTAATAATACAAATTTTTTTGTTTTTAAAAAACTAAACGCACAAACTAAGATGATGAAAAATAAAATCTTCATTAATTCCGAGCTATCTTTTGAGATTTTATCTTAAAGCTTCTTTCACACACGCAGATTTATATAATATCAAAAAAGGAGCTTAGGGGTATTAAAAAATTAAAATTTTTACTAAAAACAAGTTTTACCAGAAGAGAATCTAGAATTCGATACGCACATTGTCCTCGCTCTTAACGAATACAAATGAATATCGAACGCCGTTGCGCGTAAATCGCGTCTCTGTTTGCCGCTAATACGCGTGATGCTGCGTCACCCGGCTGATGCGTAATCGAATGAATGACTCGTAGCCCGTCAGCCACTTGAGGCTCGTGGCACCAATGAGCGGTGAGTCTAGTCTGATGACTATCTCATTTATGTAAGCCCCCTTTGGTCGCGCGAGGGGATGACGACGCGACAAAGAATCACGTAACAATTACCTGGCACCAATCAGAATAGAGGTCGCTGCACGTTCCAGGAGCTTGAAGTGCTCCACGTGGCTTTCATTGCCCAGGAACCGCTGGCCAATCACCTCACCTGTAACAGGAAAAAAAAAATAGATTGATATGACGTTGCTCAATCCGCACAATACGAGTTAATGAGGATTAATGAGAATAAAAAATCTAACGTATTTTATAATTTAAAAATAAAAAAAAAACAAAAAAAACGTTCTATTTTTTTACAATTCAAATTTAATTCTTTTTTAAATTTACAAAAACCGCAATTCAAAAGCGCATTACAATTGTATTAAATGATACGGCGTAATGTAACGGGGGCGTGCGCCACGTTGAATATTGGAAAACGATAACAATGTAATTTTTAGATAAAGAGAGATTAGATTTTATTTCAAAGTGATGTGTGTGAGGGGCAAATAGAATTTCGTAAAGAGAGTATGGATTTCTTATTAAAGCGTTCGCAGAAATATGATCTCTCTCGTGCATCGATCAATCATTCGTCTGAGTCATATAACGCACGCCGGACTTCGTAAGCAAACTCGCATCATGTAACAATGCTTCTATTAACTCGTCACGTATGTGAATGAGCCAGCCTTGTATGCGCTTTATCCGCCCGTGCGCGTCATTATGTTATATCCATTTTAGCCGATAATGTGAAGAATATTACAAATTTAATAAGCAGCAGCGTGCTCTTCGCGTTCGCGAATTTCTCTTCATATTTGAAATCGATCCTTTAGACGCGACGTCGCGAGACACCGTTTTCGCTATTTCACCGTCATCCAAATTTTATGTAATTTGCAGTCAAAAAAATTCCCGATCAATTATACTCAAGACCGTATCGTCTCTCGTTAAATTTTTCAGATCAATTTTGCATTAATTTTTAATTGCGACACGAACTCGGCGAAGAAATGTTTTTTTTTCTTCGTAACTTTGTAGAAAATTTATAAAAGAAACTTTATTTTTTAAATTACACAGCAAAATATTGTGTGCACAAGTTTTTTCTGCTGTTACAAATGTAACAAAGAAAAAAAAACGTCGTAGCGTTATCTGACGAGATGTTACTGTGTCACACTTTATTCAAGCCCGTCAATCTACGTATAAATCTTCACTTGCTTGGTTTTTTTATTTGCGCGATAATTTCGATCTTATGCAAAGTCGTGGGATCGAAACGTTTGCATTTTTCAATTCTTAACGAAGTTCCCGTGAAGTTCCCGCGCACCAACAATCACATCGGTTCTTATTAGTCTTTTCCCAAAATTTAGCAAATTTGCTCGACGAGCGTTATAATTAATTTACTTAATTAATCTAGATGAAAAAAATCAAATTTAAAACACAAAAACTAAAACGACACTACGTTTACCACGTAGGGGGTACGGATCACTCGATATAAAATCCACGACACGATACAGCGAACGATGCGTCGTCTCCGTCGACAGAAGAACTTGTTACGATAAGCGGCGAAAGGACAGAGAGAGGTGAGGATGGGGTTTAGAAAGCAGAGGAAAAGATATCCGAGAAGAGCACGTGTAAAAGAGTACAAGGGAGAGCGTCTCTCAGCCTTTAGTCGGCGATAAAGCGCCGCGCCTACTTTGTGGCGGCGCGGCAACGGGGGGGGGGAGGGGGATGTTCTTTCTCTCTTCATCTCTTCTCGCTTCCGATTTCCTCTCTCTTTCCACTCGCCGAGTCGCTGCAGCAGCAAGTCTACCACGTCGGCCGCCGACACTCCACGTCGTTTCACGACCCTTTCTCCTCGCTATGCAACCCACAGCCACACGGGGCCCCGCCGCACGTTTTCCAACCCTTTCCCCGGAACACAGTTCCAAAGAGCGATCATTCCAGCGGATATTTCGCGTTATGTTTTTTTCACTTATGTATGCGACCGCGTTACAGCGTGTATCGGGGGAGTGGAGAAGAAAGATAAGAAGAAAGAGGGCGGGGGGAGGAGGGATAAAGCCTTTTTACGAAAGCCTTTATGCATCCCGTATAACGTCGATTCTTACTTATAGAAGAATAAAAAGTCTGCGGAAAAAATTATGGTTTTCTATCTTGAGAAAAAAATTGTGCCAATTTTTTTCCTCAGCAAAATTGTAAGATGAAACTGATCGCTCTTTTTTTTTTTTTTTTTTATTAAATTTTACTCTAATCTTCGGTTATCAAACGAAGAAAGCTTGACGATTCTTGAAGGACAAACGCGCGTTTGTTTTCAACAATTTGTACTTAATTTGGTTTGTCGTCAAGCTTCACGCATTTTACATTGTACGCGAAGCAATTACGGAAATTACGTGGCGTCGCGCGATTCTCGGAAGCATCCGAGGTACAGGCCAAAAAAATTACGTCAATCAAAAAAATAACGTATTTGATTGTGTCACTACTTGAGAAATTATCTTTTACATTACGTCTAATAATCATCGTAGCCTTGTGAGAAACCAATTCCGAGAAACGTTATAATATAAATAACGAAGAGAAGTGAAAAACGCAATATCGAGAATCAATTTGTAAAGTAACTTCTAAAGAATATTGTCAATGGCGAATCTATACGTGTGTATCTCTATATATTCACCGCATTCGACTCGTCACTTGCCTTGCCAAATCCATCGAGACGGGTCCCTCGACGATCTCGTCGGATGCTTCTCTCCCGTGATGATCTAAATGTCGCGAATAACAATCGCGGGGGACTTGTCGATTCGAGTGAACGACGCGAAATGCGCGCGCGACATTCGCGCGCGTCGAAGACGAAGTTACTCGGCGGCGAGACGCGACGCGACTAACACCGATCCAGACATCGAGAAACACATCGATTGTTCCGTCAAACGATTATTCGACTGACGCTTCGAAATGATCGCTCGTTGTTAAATTCGCCATTTCTGACACACGCTGATGCACAGAATTCACTCGAGAGACGAGCGAAAACAAGCCCCGAACACGGAAAGGTCGCGCGCTACTCGACGCGAAGTGTGTCAAATTTGAAAAACAACACAATGGCCGATCCGAGCGTTCTCGAAAATTTCCGACTTGTCACGAGCGGCGCGCTACATATTTCGATATCAATTTCTAATTGCATTTCTACTTACGGATTGCAAATTGGAATCTCCGTGTAAAAAGCAATTTCTCAAATGGAAAGAACGATTCGCCGCGCTTTTAAAAAATCGATAAATCTAAATATAAAAATAATGGAAAGCGAAAATATCAGTAAAAGATGCAATAAAAAAATCATGTTATATAAAAAGGTTTTTTTTGGAGGTATTTTTTTCCCCAAGATTCTAAATAAAGAGCTTCAACGCTGATGCGCGACATAAATAAATGATTATTTATAACATCAATATTCACATGTGTAACCGCTTTTCGCTTTGAAATAAAAAGATATTTTCGATGTTTAAATATTATTTTCTCATTTATATTGTTTTGGTCGGGATGCAATCGCGAATGCAGCAACAGATTTTGTCTTGTTGATAAAAAAAAAAAATGCGCAAGTAAAAGAAATTCGTGCGTAATAAAATTTCGACATGCACGGTAACGAGAAATGCGACACTATATATATTTCATGAATAGCGGAGAAGCGGAAACGGGGTGAGGACGAGACCCAATAACACTCGCGGAAAATCGTCGTAGCGAAAGGCTTAAAGACTCTATCATCGAGAGTACGTGAGATCGTGCGGATGAGTTTTCCGATACGTTAATCGGGTCGGGGATGGCATTCCCGTTTGGCACACATTCCGATTTGCTTTCTCTCTCTCTCTCTCTATATATATATATATACATATATTCCGAAAAGAGCCGGAAACGGACCTGTCGTCGGGAGATCTACGTGTGGCGGTGAGTTCTCCCGAGAGTAATTCCGCGATATGCGCGTAACTGCCGTCGGTAGAAGGAGGACCGTTGACTGATTTCTACGCACGTTGCAACAAGCGCGGTGCATCTCGTTTTATGACGGTAATAAAAAAAAAGAGAGGAAAATACACACGGCGCATGTAAGCGGAGAAAGTATCCTCCCGATAACAATCGGCCTTGTGTCACTCGATAGCTCAGAAAAATTTTTATTCTATCAATAGCGAGTGTCATTCTAAACAGAGAGAGAGAAAGAGAGAGAGAGAGAGAGAGAGAGAGAAAAGAAGTAGCATTTAAATTTGTTTTTCTCGAGGGAAACTTCACGCAGTCACGCAATGTTTTTTTTTTTTTTTTAACTCCCAAAGGAATTCGCATTCAATTACAAAATTCCGTAAAATAATCATAAAACTTCTACGTGGCGAAACTCGGAAACTACATAAATAACATCGTTAGAAAATCATGGGACGCGGAGGAAAGCACACGCTTGTGTACATTTGGAACGTTCGCGCTATTTTCTGCGCTTTTGGCAGTCAATCTATATTAATTCCAACAGGATACACTTTATGAATCCGTTCGCCGCAGAAACGCGATACACACACACACACACACACATATATATATATATATCCCAAAGTTCGTTTATGTATGCGTGTTCGCGGTGCAGCAAGTAGATTTACGTGATTGAATCTCGCGAGTCTATACAAGTCAACTCCAATAACTTCTTTACCGCATCCAGTTTAGAATCTATCGAGCGTGTTAATTTCTTTTACTTTCAGATGCATTTCTTGAGCAACTCAAACCTGTCAAATACAAGTGAGCGCAGAAACGTCGCAGGTTTGAAGCGAATTTTCTTATTTTTTTTTTTATCTTTTAATTAATTACGGTTCTATCTTTGTTCCCCCGTATTGATCGTTTTATTTTCGCGTTATTCTCTTCTTCCAAGTGTGTCAGATAATAAATTTATGTATATAAATACTTATGATTTAGTGCGAAAATAAGAATAAAAAATTACATTATGGCTTTGTAATGAGAAACCGAAGTAAGCACGTCGTAAAAAGGCGAACGAGAACCGTAAGTAGCTTCACGCATCAGTGTCTGGCTCTCTCATCCGTTCTTTCACGACGTACTTACTTTTAAAAATAAAAACGACGTGCGCGTCTCGTGTAAATATATATATATATATATATATATATATATATATATATATATTTACACACATATAAAATATATAAAATATATACATATATATGATGCAGT